TCTTCGTGTATCTATAGGTTTAGGTATTTTAAATTGTTAATTGATTGCAACACTTTGGGGGGAGCATGATTGTCCATCACGTGAGTCTAAAGTTTATTCTTGAAGTTGGTTTGCAAGAATGTTTCAAAAGATGTTCTAACATCCTGGGTGTTTAGGTCTTGTATCTTGTGTTCTGAGTTATGGAGCAGAGTTGTATCTTATGCTCTGAGTTATGTATGATACTCCTGTTGCATGTGCGTCTAATGTGTTGTGTTCTTGAGAGGGAGATTTGTCTCTCTGACAAAAACTGGTTCTGTATTTAAGGGGGAGTAATATCCATCTTCTTCCTCATGTACAAAGTCTACATGTTTGACATGTAACTTGTGTTTGACTTGTGTGGTTCCATCTATGATGTGTTCTTCCATTTGTAGTATTGCTTGGGTGCAATATTCCAAAGCTCTCTAAGTTTTCACTGGTTGTATACATTTACTCTATTTTCTTTTTGTCAATATTTTGGATAAAGGGGGGGGGGGGGGGGGGGGGTAAATGGTTGTGTCCTGATGTTATGTCACATATCTTGACATGTTAATTTAGCATTGTGATAGGACTGTGTGCTACTACTTATGGGTGAGTAGCTGTTTGTGATTACTTATGCAACTATTCAGGGGGAGTAGTTAATGCTACTTCTGGTGTATGTGCTCTGATGTGTAGGTTCTTTTCTTGAGGGGGAGGACTGATTATGTGTGACAGGGGGAGTAATAAACCTGTCTGATTGTACATGCTTCTGAGTTGTGTTGTGTCTATAAAGTTTACATGGTTTCATGTAACTTATGTTTGTGGTTTTATTCCTCTCTCCAAGTGTATTTGGACTTTTGGTTGTTTTAGCCAAAATTTGCCAAAGAGGGAGATTGTTAGTTCCATGGTTTTGAGGTTGGCATAATTTTGCTAAAACATGCTTCTAAATTGATGTTGATTAAGATGGTGTATCATTTTTATCAACTGTCATAACAGTTTTGCTATTATGAGTTTTTCAGTCAGATGTCGAAGCAGATGTCATGACATCTTTGTCTAGTACAGCGGACACTGCTGTTTTAAATATTGACAAATTTAATTGGATTTTGTGATATTTCTTTTGGATATATCTTAGTAAATTTCGCAGGTCAAGAAGATTTATTTTGGAACGGGTTTTATATCTCCAGCTGTACAGTAGTTACTAAATTGGGCCTTGAGATAATTTAGAAAACTTTGTATTGTTTGTTCCAATATTTAAGGAGATTTGCTACACAATTGGTGTATTACTCAGCTTGTGGATCAAGAAATATCTGGATGCATAATTCGAAGCCCATGGACTACATAGGTATATTTAAAGAGAAGACCTAACCTAATGTAATTAGAACTTTCAACTATTGTAAAATTAGGGGAAGGAAAAATAGTTTTAGGTTTTGAGAGTCTCTTGTGTATCGTATGATGTAAGTCACCCTTGTGTATTTTGAAACGTGTGGTCGACATTATGTACTCACTCAAAAGCCTTTAGGAAATGAGTTGAGTATTGTTCTTGGATGAAGCTTTTAAGCAAATCCAAGTATTATTCTTAGTCAAGAGTCTTAGCTAAGTATTGTAATGAGAGTATGATCTTCTGGTTGAGTTACTCTCGATACAATTACTGGGATTGAGACTGTTAGATATCACTGAGGTGATTTAGGAAGTGAGATGGTGATTTCTCACATTTCTCATATATAGGAGGTGCCTAGGTAGAAGTTGCATTGGGTAGAGATTAGGCGAGAAGTTGTAAATTGGGATTGTTTAGCTTTGAACTAATACTGCTGATAGTGGACTTCCTTCCTGGCTTGGTAACCCACAGAGTAGGTGACGTTGCACCAAACTGGGTTAACAACTCCATGTGTTATTTATCATTCCATAATTTAAGTTTCAATATCTGTTATAACTTGACAAATTTATTCAGTCTATCAACATATGTCGTAACATTTGTACTACATCTTTTTGACGTTGAGACATCAGTATTAACATGTGTTGCCTGTACCAGAAGAATTTCAATTTTTAAGTGATTTTCTTTTAGAAATAGACACTTTAAAATGGTTTTTACGAGTGTGTAATTTAGACATATAACTTTACGAAAGCGCTCTTGTGCTTTTACAAAACACTTATCACTCAGACATGATTGGGGGAGTTTTCACACTTCCTCTCTTTCACACTTTGAAGCTTCAAGACTTTTCCAAATACACAAATCATATAAGAACTTTGATTGAGTCTTCTTGGAGACCAGGCTTGAAATATCTTTAACTCGGACACCATCATTAAAGGATATCACTTAGATCATCAAACCCTAATTCATCTATCTTTAGAGAAAGGGTTTTAACAAATTGTCTTATGCATCTTTGACCACTTGAGATAGTTGTAGTACTTTCTTGGCTTCATCCTTTTTTGTAGAGTTGTAAGCAATGCATCTTCATGAGTTATCATCATAGATATATCTTATTTAATTGTCTCCATCAAACCATGAAGGTTTTAGGCATGACTTGCTTGGCTTTAATCGCTTCTTTATTAACTTGCAAACACATGGTTCCACAACGTGGATAAGAAAATATTTGTTTGATTCAAAATACTTGTAAACACAATATAATGCTCTAGATGGCTAAGGTCATTCATACATAATATGAATTAAAACAAAAATGTATAAAAATTCTTTTTTCGAGGCTTTCATTATTCTGGAATGGTTGACTAATTTCCTTGAGATTTCTCGATCATGTATTTAACTCGGCCTTAGATCCCCCGACGTTGACCTTAACTTTTTCCCAGATGCCTTCTAGCTTAACAATGTCTAATTGAGGATATCTTGCCTTTAATTTCCATTTGGCCATACTCTTTGGCTATTTAGAATACATCTCACCATTGATTAGTATCGATTCTTTTCTTTGTTGTTGGCCCTCTCTTGGTGGAGCTTAAGTGATTCTAGAAAGCAGGACCAATAAGCCTCGAGTGCTGCCACCATAATGATAATGATGTCCTTATCAGATTAGTATTTCATTTTCAAATGGACCATTGAGGAAACAATGCCCAAGGTAGCTAATATTGGGCATTCAATTATGCAGTTATATATGGACTTGCATTTTATATTTAGAAATTGAGTATTCACTATCTTCCCTCTTTACAAAATACATGATCAATTTAACACCCACAACCTTATGGTTGATCCATTAAACCCTTAATGAACATTCCCTTTGTAGGGAATGATATTCTCTCGAGTCAAGTGTAAGTTCTATAGGATTTTGGCATACATTATGTGACTTGATATTCATTGGTCTATTAAGACCCCTTTATATGTCATAGTTGGCCATAAAAACCTATATTACCAGCAAGACGTGGGAGTTAAATACTTCGTTGATGATTGCTTTGTCATAAAATAAAATTGGTGGTTAGCATTTCCTAAACGATTCTTTTCCCGATCTTTGTTCCTGCAACATGATTTCTCTCAGCTTTTTATTTTTTATAAGTTAAAGAATTCTCCTTCAGAGTGAGGAAATTCTACTGAAACCACTTTTGTGGTTGTTAGTATGATATGCTCTGGTGGTACTCCATCTAGTTGATCTTCCTTGTCATTTGTTTTTACCCTAACATTAATAGAGAATGCCTCCCAATACTCGAGTGGTTCCTTTCAAACATTCATCATAATAGGTAGTCTTCACCACTCAGTAAACATTCGTCCATCGATGGTGCATGGACTGACAACCCATTTTCTATTGCCGGATTATTTTTCTTTTTTAGTCGTTTTGGTCACTTCACTTCTCTTTCTCTGTGGGATTTCCTTATTTGGTCTCTTTTCTATGGAATAACTCTTGTCTTGGTAGGAGAATCTAGACAAACTTTCTTTTTTATTAAGTCTTCAATGGCGTCCTTCAACTATACACACTCCTCTGTGTTATGACCTATACATCGGTGTAAACGATAATACTCTGATTTGTCAACTCTGGGACGTTTTCAAATTGGCTTTGGCGCTTCAACTTACTCTTCCTAGAATTCTATGTTGATGCATTCTTGTAGGATGTGCTCTCTCGATATGTTCAAATTGGTGTAATCTCGGTATCTAAATAGTTATACCCCCTTGTATTTCATTTGCAGGGGCGCATGTTTGAACTCGCGAAATTTCACTTATTCATTTTTAAGGGATGAGATTCTGTCACTAAAGTGCTAGATAAAAAAATATTTTAAACATATCTAATTAAATATTATTTTAAAAATAAATAAAAATATTGATAATTTATAATACATAATATTGAAATTCCATATATAAATACTTTCCTAGTTTTGAAGTATCCGAACATGATAGTGAATTAAAAGTAAATTATATTTATTCATCATATTCATGCTGTGAAACATCTTAACTACAAATTACATGAAATTGAGTCTAAATAATTATTTTTTTTTAAATGATTCGAAATACATGTATTTACCGTTTCAATTCAGATAATTATCCACCAACGCATCACAAATTCAATTCAGTTATCATGTGGCCAAGAGCCATGCATTTTAGCATGTTCCACAAATTTTACCATCTTTGGCACGCTATACAATTCATTTAGAAACAGAACAGCCTGCCTGCAAGTAACAAAATAAGCTTTTTTTTCAACTAAAAAAAGCTAGTTACAACGTTATATTTGGATCAAAGTTCAGGGGCGTTAAAACAGAGGAGCTCACGGTGTAGTATAATCAGAGCTACAATATTATTGAGAATTAAATTGGCAAAATAATACAATTCATATATTCTAATCAAGTACAAATTTGCTTTGTGACACAACCATACATACCAAACTATGGTATCTAATATTGTAACAGAAAAACGTATGGCATCCAATGTTGCAACATTCTTAGACTGCATGACAAAATATACCATTCTTATATGTATTCCAATGTTGCAACATTCTTAGACTGCATGACAAAATATACCATTCTTATATGTATTTATATAAATGAATGAATTACAAAGAATATATTGCTTAGTAGTTTCAGAACTGAGACTTTTTGAATTTTAGCAAATCAAAACGAGCAGTGAGTTCATCGTAATCTGGTAATTTAGGATGAACACGAGTGCTGGAATCTTGTTTAGCCAGAGGTGAAGGTACAGGTGGTGGAAGCCTTCTAGGTGGCAAAGTAACCGGAGGGGGTTCTTCTGCTGCAATTTCTTCGTCACAATCTGATTCATCAAACTTAATATCTGAATGTGCAGAAGCTGGATGGTAGCTGTGTCTTCTATATTCCTGGTTGCTCGAGTGATCGGACCTTGGTAAGCTATGTGACCTATGCACTCTGTCCTCAGTTGTTGATTTATGAGTCTCATTCTGAGAAAATTTTGCAGGATCATTATAGAATTTATCATTGTAATATGGTTGAGAGGCTTCATTATTGTCCTTCATAGCCATATAAGCAGCAACCTCAGCAGCTGCAATTGCTTTCTTTGCTGACTCAGCTGCTGCTTCAGCAGCAGACTTAGAATCTTCGAAATACATGGCATCACTGTTTCCACCGCTGGATAATCTGATGAATCATCACAGAACTCCATTAGAAAATAAGAACAATATAATGAACATTTGCAACAGGGCATTATTGGATTCACCTTGTAGATTGCTGCCTATTTGATTCAATCGACATATCTATCGAAGTCTTCACCGGTAAGGTGCTGGCGCTGACAAAAGTGCGTTGCCCTTCCTGTAGAGACGGGTCAAATTTTTAAATGAAAAATTAGGACAGCATAAGAAAGAGAGAACAGAAAACATATAGAAAATGGATGGTAGACATAGGTAAATAGAGAAAGAAATCATACTATTAGCTCTTCTGGAGGCTGGAGAAGCTCTTTTTCAGATTCTGCAGTATCCCAATCAATTTGATGCTCCTTAGCAATTTCCTTCAATACTTTCAACTTTACTTCCCCAGGAGGTGTGCGTACGGAGAGCTTGTCAATCAACTAAAAGACATTGCAGTATTATACAAACAACGTTTAACCATCGCCAAATCTGAAACATTCTTACTTCGATATAGGCAAACACAAGAAAAAATGCAATCAAAAGAAGACTTACTTGGCGATTCACACCACAACTAGGTCTAAGATCAGTAGCAGCCGATACAAAATCCCTTCCATATTTCTTCTCAAATATTTTCCTAAGCGATACCAGTTCTGGGATTTCTGAGCACCTAGGGGATGCAAATATTAAGCTAGAAATTCCCTCTTTCAAATCTGCTGGACATTCCCTGAAATAAGACAAAAACAGTTCAGATTAGCATTATAATTTCAAGTTCGCTACCTTCAAAATGGTAAAATGAGTTCCATATACTTCACCTTTGCTTTGCAATAATTGAGAGTCTGGACACAATTAGCTCACAGAACAACTCAATGAACTCATTTGCAGCCAAAACATTTTGCTCTCTCATCACATGCTCAACCTATAATCAAACAAAACCTTTTGGTAAGTAAATCACAAACTAACCTTTCCAATATCCAAAACAAAACAAAAAAAGATATCCACTATTTCCAACATAACAAGTTTCAACTATCAATTTCCAACAAAACAAAAGATATCCACAATTTCCAACATAACAAGTTTCAACTATCAATCTCCAACAAATCAAAAAAGATATTCCCAACATAACAAGTTTCAACTATCAATTTCAATAGACACTATTAACTACTACATCCACAAGGTGAATATCACAATAAAACCACTACTAGGACTGCTAAAAAATCTCTAAACCAAACCGAACCACCGAACAAACTTAAAATAATTAAACTGCATATTTGGTTAGTGAACCGAACCATATTGTACAAATAGTTCTAAAACCGAACCATATGACAAACAATTTTGAAAAAGTATTACCAAACCAATAATTTTGGTTCAGTGTAATTCTAAATTGACACAGTTCAGTTCGAGTGAACTTTTACTATGGTTTGATTCAATTCCATTTTCTCTGATCATGCCTTACCACTACAACTAATCCCAATTAAATTATATCATCAAACCGATCCTGTGAATGTTTAAAATTAGAAACAATTTCACACCAAATGCTGAATTCTTCCAAACCAACAATTTCAACAATTCATTAGCATACATTGAAATTGAAACTATATATGCAAAAAATTGTAGGTAAAAATCGAGTGTAAATTTACCCTGATACGAGCAGTGGCATCTTGACCAGACTGAAGAAGAAGCGCAATGTCGCGTCTCATCTGCCTCACCACAACCTCCCTCTTGTTCTTCAGCAGCTTAATCCTCGCCACGGCCATCTTCGCCGCCGTTTTACTGCAAAACAACAACACAAATCAATCACATTTCATCACAGAATCAACAAAGGGAGAGGAGAGAGTGTAGGCATCACAGAATCAACAAAGGGAGAGGAGAGAGTGTAGGCATCACAGAATCAACAAAGGGAGAGGAGAGAGTGTAGGCATCACAGAATCAACAAAGGGAGAGGAGAGAGTGTAGGTATATGTACCATTTGGAGGAGTTGAAGCCGAGACCGAGAAGGGAGAGAGTGAGCTTGAAGATCCTCTTGGTTCGTGCGGTGGCGGCGCCGGCGACCGTCATGGTGAAACGGCGGAGGGAAGAGAGAAATGGGTTTGGGGATTTGTTATCGAGAATGGAAGTGTAACGGTCTGAAGATCGGGCAATAAAGGAGTGTGAATCTCTTTGGGTGAGGTGTGACTTTTTGTGCGAAAATGTAGCCGTTATGTAAAGTATGTTGTCAATCAAGGAAGATTGTGTCATTAAAACTAGAAGTGGAATCCAATGCAATAAGATTAATGTATAATTCGGTAAACATTTCTGTATTATTACATCATGCAAATAATTCAGTTTAGTTAACTTTGGTGATTTGTTATTTAAGAGTATATATAGTAATGTCTTGTACATTCTAAAAGAATAATAATACAATGAGCTTATTTCAAAATTAACATGGTATCAGTTTGAAAATTCCTTTCTGCGCCTCCCTTTTCTTTCCTTTCATCTTCTTCGCGCCTTCTCCTTCTTCTTCGCGTCTTCGCCTCTTCCTTTTCCTTTTAATGCTTCAGCATTGACTATGGCGCTTCCTTACTCCGATTTCGCTACAAACCCTTCCAATCCTTATTATATGCATCCTAACGAAAATCCCTCTCTTGTTCTTGTTCAACCAGTTCTTGATACCAAGAACTACCAGATCTGGTCTAGATCGATGAAAGTGGCTCTTATCTCCAAGAACAAGATCAAGTTCGTTGATGGCACTCTTTCTCCTCCGCCTATCTCCGACTCTCTATACGAACCTTGGCTGCGATGCAACAATCTCGTCCTCTCATGGCTTCAACGCTCGATTTCTGAGGAAATTGCAAAATCTCTTCTCTGGTATGATCATGCTTCTCTTGTATGGAAAAGTTTGGAAAATCGTTTTTCTCAGGGAGACATTTTTCGCATTGCTGACATTCAAGAAACTGTTGCTCGTCTTCAATAAGGAACTCTCGACATCTCTTCGTTCTTCACGAAATTGATGACGCTTTGGGAAGAAATCGAGAACTTCCAGCCAATTCGTGATTGTACTTGCGTTATACCGTGCTCCTGTGGTGCTGCTTCAGACTTACGCAAATTCAAAGAACAAGATAAAGTTATCAAGTTCTTGAAGGGCCTTGGTGACCAATACGCTCATGTTCGCTCGCAGATTATGTTGATGACTCCACTACCAACTCTTGATAATGTGTTTAATCTGGTTCTTCAACAAGAACGTTAATTCAACCTTCTTTCACCTTCTGCTTCTTCAATTGAATCTCAATCATCTGTGAATCACCTTTCTCAAGCACCTTCTCGTTCTTCTCACAACCCTGGTCGTGGTCGTGGCCGTGGTGGCCGTGGAAACCGACTCTGTACTCATTGCAACCGCACCAATCACACCATTGAGACTTGTTTCCTGAAACATGGCCCCTGGATTTCAACAACGCAAGCCTACTACATCTGTGGGGGAATTCTGTTGATTCTACAGTGAACTCGATTCAAGATGCTGCTTCTCCTCAACTTGAGGCATTATCTTCCTCTGCTTCCACATCAAACACCAGTCCAAGTGCTTTGTCTACGATTCAAGAGCAATACACTCAGATTCTGCAGCTCCTCCAACAGTCTAATTTGCAATCTCCTTCACCTTCCTCGATTAATTCAGTTTATACTGCTAATTCTGTGTCCCATACCTCTCCTCATACTTCCTCTGGTAAGAATTCCTCAAATCTTCCTTGTCATAACTGGTGGATCATTGACACAGGTGTCACTGATCACATCACCCATATCTTTGCCAGTTTCCTTTCCACATACCACATTGCACCTAAATCTATGACAATGCCTAATGGTGACTCTGTCACTACAACTATTGTTGGTTCATTTTTACTATGTGATTCACTTGTCCTTCATAATGTTTACTACTTTCCTTCATTTCATGTCAATATTATCTCTGTCACCACTCTTTTTGACTCCACTTTATATGATGTGAAATTTTCCCCTAATTACTGTCAAATTATGCAGTTGTCCCAATCCAAGATGACTGGATTTACAACTAGGAGAATTGGAAAATTGTATGTTCTTGATGCCACCCCACCTAAGGCCATCTCTCCCACATCTGGCTCTGTCAACACCTCCTCTTCTCCCCAATTAGAACCTGCTAAACACAATCCTGCTACTATTTGGCATCTTAGGCTTGGACACTTAAGTCCTTACATACACAAATGTATTTCCTCTCAATTTCCTTTTGTCACCTACAATGACAATCATAAGCCCTGTAATACTTGCCATTTGGCTAAGCAAAAACATTTTCCATTTGCTCACAGTAATACTAAGTCTGTTTCCATCTTTGATTTACTTCATGTCGATATTTGGGGCCCTCTTTCCACACCTTCCATATGTGGCCACAAGTATTTTTTAACCCTCGTAGACGATTACAACAGGTTTACTTGGACAATTTTTATGGCCAACAAAGGTGAAACCAGAAACCATTTAATTCACTTCATATCTTTTATCGAAACTCAATTTAACAAGAAACTCAAGTGCATTCGTAGTGATAATGGTCCTGAGTTTCTCATTACCACTTTCTACCTTTTTAAAGGAATCATTCATCAAAGATCTTGTGTGGAAGCGCCTCAACAGAATGGTATCGTGGAAAGAAAGCATCAACATATTTTGAATGTTGCTCGTGCCCTCTCTTTCCACTCTCACCTCCCTCACAACCTTTGGCACCTTTCCATACAACAGGCCATTCATATTATAAATCGTCTTCCCACTCCTCTTTTAAACAACCACTCTCCCTACCAAAAACTCCATTCTACTCCTCCCAGCCTTAACCATATGAGAGTCTTTGGTTGTCTTGCCTATTCTTCGACCTTGCTTAACCATCGCACTAAATTCGAACCAAGAGCAAGGAAATCTATTTTTCTTGGCTACAGGGAAGGCACAAAAGGCTACCTTCTCTATGATCCTATCACACGTGAATTTTACATTTCAAGGAATGTATTCTTTTATGAAATTGTGTTCCCTTTTGCATCCATCCCACCTGCACCTAATCCCATAATTCCTACTCCTGACCCTCCTCCCCTTGATTCACCTGATATTTTCACCAACATTCCACCCATCTCACCTCCACCATCAAATGAACCTTCCTCTCCTACCTCTCTCCCCCAACCAGATTCTCCCACTAACCTCTCTTCTTCCTCAAATGACACTAACAACTCCCCTTGCCCCTCCCCTCCTGTGCCAACCAGAAAATCCAATCGAAATATTAAACCTCCAGCTTATCTATCTGATTATCACTGCAATTTTCTATCCCCCATGCTGCCAGCATCTGACTCAGGTTCCTCTAACTACCCTCTCTCTTCTGTATTATCTTATAGCCAATGTAGTCCTGATCACAAATTATTTTGTTTGTCCATAAGCTCTTTCACAGAACCCAAAACCTATAAACAAGCCTGTAAGTTTGATTGTTGGAACAATGCTATGAAATCTGAGTTAGATGCTCTTGAATCTACAAATACTTGGTCTATTGTTGATTTGCCTGCAGGTAAACAATCGATTGGTTGCAAATGGGTCTACAAAATCAAGCATCATGCTGATGGATCCATCGAACGATACAAGGCCCGTTTGGTAGCAAAGGGATATACTCAGCTGGAGGGTGTGGATTATTTCGATACTTTCTCACCTGTTGCGAAGCTTACTTCTATTCGAACCCTTCTCTCAGTGGCTGCCATTAAGAATTGGCACTTGGAACAACTCGACGTCAACAATGCCTTCCTTCATGGTGATCTACATGAGGAAGTGTATATGGATCTGCCTCCTGGATTCCTGCCCCCTGCTTCTTCGACCAACAAAGTTTGCAAATTGCATAAGTCATTATACGGCCTGAAGCAGGCTAGCAGACAGTGGTTTTCAAAATTGTCCACTGCCCTTATCTCTCTTGGCTACTCATATTCTTCTGCTGATCATTCCTTTTTCACAAAATCACATGACTCTTCTTTTACTGCCTTATTAGTCTATGTTGATGATATTGTCTTAGCCGGTAATGATTTGCAGGAAATCCAATATGTCAAATGCTTCCTTGATTCCACTTTCAAAATCAAAGACCTTGGTAGGCTAAAATATTTTCTTGGTCTAGAAGTTGCCAGATCAACTCACGGCATTTTTCTCAATCAGAGAAAGTACGCTTTGGAATTGCTCGAAGACAGTGGCTTATTGGCTACTAAACCTTGCTCTACTCCCTTCGATTCCTCCTTGAAGCTTCATGATGATAACTCACCACCTTTCGAAGACGTCACAGCTTATCGAAGGCTTGTTGGAAAACTTCTATATCTGACTACCACTAGACCTGACCTTGCATTCATCGTTCAACAGCTTAGCCAATTCATCTCACATCCTATGCAAGTTCATCATTCTGCAACAATTCGAGTCCTCAAGTATCTCAAAGGTGCTCCTGCCAAGGGTTTGTTCTATTCATCTTCCTATCCACTCAAACTCTCTGGCTTCGCAGACTCAGATTGGGCAAGTTGCCCTGCTACCCGCAGATCCGTAACTGGATATTGTGTGTTCCTTGGCAATTCCCTCATATCCTGGAAATCCAAAAAGCAGTCTACGGTATCCAAGTCAAGTTCAGAAGCGGAATACAGGGCCTTGGCAAGCTTGACTTGTGAATTGCAATGGCTGCAGTATTTGTTCAAGGATCTCCACATCTCCTTTGATCAACCTAGCTCAGTCTATTGTGACAACAAAAGTGCTATCTACCTTGCTCACAACCCCACCTTCCATGAACGGACAAAACATATCGAAATTGACTGCCACGTCATTCGTGAGAAAATCCAAACTGGTCTCATCCACCTTTTACCAGTTTCTTCTGCTGCTCAATTGGCAGATGTTCTCACCAAGCCTTTGGCAGCTCCCTCTTTCGATTCTCTTGTTTTCAAGCTTGGTCTATTAGACATCCATAGTCCAACTTGTGGGGGGCTATTACCTGATGCAAATAATTCAGTTTAGTTAACTTTGGTGATTTGTTACTTAACAGTATATAGTACTGTCTTGTACATTCCAAAAGAATAATA